TATTTCAGTTCTATTAAACATATTATTCATATAAATTTATTTAACCATTAGATGGTCTCTCCCTTCCGAAGGAAGAATCAAATTGATCGCGACGAGCAACGTCTCCACAGACTACGCGAACGTAGGACAAGAAGAGTCTTAAATTTACACGTCCAAATATTTCCTACGCGAGTAATCGTTCGATCCCCTTCTCCAGACGTATTCGCCTATAAATAACCTTCCGCCCTACATTGATTATTCTCACCCGCAATTTCCGGAGCCCTCGCCGTTAGAATCAAATACGTTAATAACGAACCCTAATCATCAATTCTTACCCGATCCTGAATATTATATCTTGGATCAAAATCTACCAATCACATCTCCAGAGTACGACCCCCTTTTACAATTTAACAACGAACAAACTTTTCACATTCTCAACGAGGGCACCGCGAATCTCACTCACGACGTCGATAACGTCATCCCCGAGGAAGCGCAAGATAACTTCACTTCTTTTATAACTTACCTCAACCAGCCTAACAATCCGGAACTGGAGCTCAGTCATATTGTAACTCAATTTCAAGCTCCCCACGAACCACGTCAGGACCAATAAACTTTATATCGACGTAAAGGTTTTATAAATGAATAAATGACATTATATTTGTAAAATATCTTTATTTATCGACCCGACCCTTCAGTTTCCTTCTCCGTCCGATACTCTCAATCGAATCTCAAGCTCTCGGCTTCCCTGGGTATAGCCGGCCTAGCAGGTTGCCCATAAAACAAATAGAGAGCAGCTTCTTAAACGTCCACCGAGGTAGACGCGAGAGAAGACCGTCTTGTGCAGAAGGTAATTTATTGCTAGATGAATTATTGGATGTAACAGATAATTAAATATAATGATTAAATATAATGATTAAATATAATGAGTGCCCGTCGCGCTTTACTATTTAGGGATATGTGAACTGGCTTAAATACTCACAAGGTTAGACAATGTCTAATGTGCCTTGCTATGGTACACTTCGCTACTGTGTTCTTCCCTTTGAGTCTGAAGATCTGAGGAGCCTCGGTACCTCGGTCCGAAATGGCGGCTGTGTCTCACCAAAATGGCGGCTATGTCTTCAGGACCCCGTAGTATTTGCTGGTTGAGTGCTGGATTGTTGACTGGAACCACTGCGACGAAATCACTGCCGTTCCGTGCCGGGTGCAGGGTTTATATACCGTAAAATGTGGCTCGCTCCTCCCATCGGGCGATGCGGCTTAGCCAATGGCAAGAGAGGTATGCCGGGGAAGTACCGGAGACAATCTGTTCCTGATAGAGATTGCGACGGTTAAGTCCCGGAGAGATGGTTTCTTAGTAGCGATAGCGGCGTTCCTCTGATGACTCATCGCCGGCCGCTCCGACTTTCCTTTTCCTATTCTCGGTAGCGATAGCGGTATGCCTTTGTTGGCTATGCGCTCCGACTTATCTTATCTTCTTCTTGGTAGCGATAGCGGTGCTTCTTTGGTGACTCACCGCTACGCGGCTTGCAACGGGCCTTGCAGGTTGCAACGTGTTTCAGCGTTGCATCATGCTTGTGGAATGTAACGGTTCTCAACCGTCTTTCTAGAACCTTCTAGAATCTTTTAGATGTTTCTTGAGAGTAAAGCCGAGTTCACATAATAAAGCGGGTTTCATACCTAATTATTACTTTACGAACGATATCTATATATATAATGCGTCTATAACTCTCTTATTCGGGAATAGTCAAAATAAGATATCGAATAGTTTCTCTGAAAAACAAAGTTTGTAAATTTTTTTATTAATTCAAACTCAAAAGACTATTTACAACCCTCACCTGAAAAACAAAGAAACAACATTCAATGTTTCTTATTCACTGATTCTATTATAATAACACTTTGTCAAATTAAATTTTATTCACCGTATTTTCTCTCCACGTGGGTTTCTCTTTTCTAACCTCTATTAATTTTTCTTTGCACATCTAGATGCCCGTATTACCGACCGTTTTACCGGGAGATTTTAAATTAATCCGAGGAAATGTAATGGAATTTCCTTACATCTCCCCCCCTAAGAGAGAAAATATGTTTACAAATTTTTTTTTTTTTTTTTTTTTTATGACGTGTACATGTCTTCTTCTGTGTAAGCGGACTCTGAGACTGGAAACAGTTTAGTGATATGAAATAAATTTGACTCTGTTTTCTTATGACCTGTGTCTACTTTATATATTGAGTGTGATATTTTTTGTAAGATTTTGTATGGTCCTATTTTTAACTCGTCTAATTTCTTTCTGTTTAAGCGGTTCCCGTTCTCGACATATACTGATTCTCCTACATTAAATTTGTAATCTCTTCGGTTTTTGTCAATTATCTTTTTATTATAAACGTGATATTTTATACTATTTTCTAAAGCAGTTTTCCTGTCTAGTTTTAGATCTTCGTTTGATCTTTCTTGTTTTAATTCGATTGGTAACATTGAGGTATCCGTGCCTTCTAATAGATATTTTGAGGTGAATTTAGTGACTGTGTGTTCTATTTCATTGTATTTTCTTACACATTCGTGTGCTATAGTTGTCCATGCTGCTTTCTTGTTCTTTTTCTCGTTTACTTTGCATCTAATTTTATTAACCAACGTTTGGTTCAATCTTTCATTCAGGCCATTGGAGAAAGGTGCGTTTACTGCCGTAAATATAATTGGGATATTTTTGTCGTCCAAAAATTTCTTAAAAACCTTGGAGTTTATTCCCGGATATTGATCCGTTAAGATCATACCGATGTCGTTGTTTTCCGTTACTTTTTTTATTAATTTTATAAAATCCGTGGAATTTTGGGTTTTGGATGTTAAAATATATCCAAATCTCGTGAAATGGTCTACCAAGAGATGTAAGTATTTTTTTGTGGATCGTGAGCCCCCGAAGCCGCCGATTGTGTCGATGGAAACTATTTCAAACGGTTCTTTTGCGGGACCTAATTGAGACATTAGGCCAAATTTCTTCTGTCCTCTTGATTTATTTTTTATGCAGATCTCACAGGCTCTACAAATTTCTTTTATATTCTTTGTTAAATTTTGTGCTGTGTAATAATTTCTGATTTTGTTTTGTGTTTGTTTTATACCTATATGGCAGAAATTCTGATGTGTTCTTCTTATTACTTCTTTACTGAATTTTTCTGATAGTATAATTTTTTCTTTTTCTTTGATCTTCTTATAGTATATTTTATTTTTCAGTTTTAGTCTATTTTTGTCAGTCTGTAAATCTTTGTTTTGTTTTTGATCTTTCAGAATTTCTTCTAGGTTTATTAAATTCACGATTTTTAAGTCTTCCTCTTGATTCTCATGTGCCTCCAGCACAGGGTTTCTACTTAAACAGTCTGCCTCCAAGTTATTCTTACCCGGGTGGTATATTATTTCCATATCATATTGTGCTAAGTAATACGTTAGATCGCCTAATTCTTCGTCTGGTCTTGCTTTGATGTTAAGTTTTTCTAGTGGTTTATGATCTGAAAAGACTTTGAATGATCTGCCCATGAGCCAGTGTTGCCAGTATTTTACTGCTTCTTTTATTCCTAGGCATTCTAGGTATATAGCCTTCTTTTTTTTTGGGCTTCGTTTAGCTTCTTCGAGAAATACGCCACCGGTTTTTCTATTTCTTTTCCTATTTCTTCATCCAGTTGTGGTTGTTTTAGTATAGCTCCTACACCTTTCAAGCATGCATCCGTGTAAATATGTATTGGTAGATCTGGATCGAAGATAGTTAAAACCGGTTGAGTGCAAAGAATGTTTTTTATTTTTTTAAAGGCTTCTTGGCAATCTTCCGACCAGACGAATCTTTGTCCTTTTCTTAATAGTTTGTGCAGTGGGTCCAGTATTATGGAATTATGTGGCACGTATTCATTGTAAAAGTTAATTTTTCCTAAGAACTGGCGAATGTGTTTTTGTGATTGTGGCACAGGAAAATTTTGTATTGATATTAGATTATCTTTTATTGGGAGACTGAGTTATTTTTTATCTTGTGACCTAAGTACTTGACTGAATTTGATGCGAAAGTGCATTTAGAAAATTTCAATCTAAAGCCCTCCTTCATTATTGCGTCTAGCAATTGTGTTAAATGGTCAATATGTTCATCGAATGATTTTGAGAAAATCAAGATATCGTCTATGTAGTTTACTGTAAAGTTTGAGAGATTGTGTTTTCTCATTATGTTGTTCAGGATTCTTTGAAAAATAGCTGGCGACGTCTTTAGGCCAAATGGCAAGCAGGTCCACTGAAAGTGTCCTTCTTGGGTTATAAATCCTGTTTTTCTTCTATCTTCCACCCGTAGTGGGATTGACCAGAATGCCGAGTTTATGTCGAGTTTGGAAAAATATTTGCAGTTTCTTGTTTTTGTCACTAGGTCCTCAATCAATGGGAATGGTTGTGATTGAGGGATAATTATTTTGTTCAGATCTCTAAAGTCGATGCATAATCTTGATCTTCTATCTTCGTCCTTTTTATATGCTAGCGTCACTGGGGCAGCAAAAGGACTGTATGATTCTTCTATCAAGTTTCTTTTTAACAGCTCCGCAATTTGTTGTTCTATTTCTTTCTTATCTTTGATTGTACATCTATATGGTCTCTTGCTGCAATACTTATCTATCATTAAATCTATTCTTGCTTCATAATCTTTTACTGTGCCAATGTCGTATTTGTCCTTGGCAAATAATGTTTTGTATTTTTCTATAAGATTTTCTATTTTTAATTTTTCGTAGTGATCTAGGTGGTTTATTGAGATTTGTAAATTATCTGTATCTACATGTTCATTAAAGTTTATTTGTTGTAGCTTGTCATCTTGAAATTTACAAGCTTCTTTATGGTTTCTATCCTCTTTCTTTGGATTTTTGTTTGTGGTATTAAGAGCATTTGTATTTCTTTTGTCTGTTATGTCAGGAATTTTTTGTTCTATTTTTAAATTCTCATTCTGTATTAATCCAAATTTTTTTATACAATCCAGTCCGATTAGAAATTCATAATTGAAATTTTTGTTATTTATTACAAAAACGTCTATTTCTTTTTCTATATTAAGAATTTTTGCTTTTATTGTTATCATGCCTTCGGTTTGGTTCACACCATTAATCGTTCTTAAGTTTACTTTTCTTATATTGTTATTTTTATCTTTTCTTAGATTCAGTATTCTAGAGTTTATTAATGAAACATTCGAGCCTGAATCATATATCCCAGTTGCTTCCAATGTCTCATTTAGTAATATCTTGAGTTCGATCAATGGTGGAATTATTAGTTTTTTTGCTCATTGCAATTTAGTTCCATTTCTAGGACGGCGTTATTGACATTTTTTATTTTGTTTTCTTTATCTTTGAACCAACATGCTGATTCCGGGTGATAACGTGTGCCTTTGTTATTGTCTTTACAAATTTTACATGGTGTTTTTTCTTTTATGTTATCAGTCTTGTTCTTCTTGATTTCAAATCTGTTTTTATTAACCAGGTGTTCCAGTTTGCCTAGTTCGTTGTAAAGGTCTTCAGTTTCGTTCAGAGTTTCTCTGTCAATCCTATCAGATATAAAGTTTGGTAGACCGGCTGCGATGAGATCTATCAAAGTTCCTGTGTCTATTGATTTTCTTACTTCTAATAATAATTTTTCTTTTTTTATGGCATAATCCAACAGAGGACCTGATTGGAATTTGAATGAGAGTGCATATCTTATTGGGATCCACCCTTTGTTTGCAAATGTTTCACAAAAGTTTTTTTTCCATTCTTTCCATTCTGATTGTACTGTAAATTTTATCAGCATGCAGCTGTACCAATCTACACACGCTTTTTCTAGAAAAAATTTTAAAGTTTCGATCTTCTTTCTATCTTCATTTATCTCAAAACGTTCGCACTCTCTTTCAAATTCATTTATCCATTGGTGGGCATTGGAGGTTTTTCCAGTGAATTTTTCAAGCATAAAATCCTGTGCTATTTTTCCTAGATTTTTTATTTCGGATTTTTGTTGTTTCTCTTCCATTAATTTCTCCAATATTTTTCTCATTATTTCCTCTGAAGAACTAGGTTCAGATGCCGTAGTAGTTTTTTTCTCTGTGATTTCTTCTAAATAATAATCGCCAAATTGTAAGTTTTCTTCTTCATCCAAATACACTTTAGTTAAGGTTTCTGATAAACCAATCCATACTTTTCTTGATTGGTGTCTTTTTTTTAATGAATTCTTCACTTTAGCAAATATTTGTGTTTTTGTCAGCTCTGTGTGTAAATGTGCTGGCTGATATTCCTCTGGGAAGCCGAAAGAACGATCATCGGGTGTTCCTATTGAGGTTAAGCACAATATGTTCGATTTTCCGTCTGTTGATCCTCTTACCATAAAGTCGAATCTTAACTTCTCCATTTTGTATAAATTTTCAACAAGAATGTTGTTTTATAATGCGTCTATAACTCTCTTATTCGGGAATAGTCAAAATAAGATATCGAATAGTTTCTCTGAAAAACAAAGTTTGTAAATTTTTTTATTAATTCAAACTCAAAAGACTATTTACAACCCTCACCTGAAAAACAAAGAAACAACATTCAATGTTTCTTATTCACTGATTCTATTATAATAACACTTTGTCAAATTAAATTTTATTCACCGTATTTTCTCTCCACGTGGGTTTCTCTTTTCTAACCTCTATTAATTTTTCTTTGCACATCTAGATGCCCGTATTACCGACCGTTTTACCGGGAGATTTTAAATTAATCCGAGGAAATGTAATGGAATTTCCTTACATATATTTTAGGTATTATTCTTTAGAATATGTCGATTCCCTTTGCAATTTAAAATAAAATGCATTACTTCGTAAATTTTGTTATAGATTAAAATAATCTTATTTGCTTTATTTTATATTCATATTTGCATGTAAATGGTAGAAAAGCTTAATTGTAACTTCTATTGTTATTTTATAGTTAGAGTTTAATAATCATGATAGACAGGTAAAGTTTATCAATTTACATTCACATTTCGTAGTTATATGTAAATTGATAGGTAACTTGCATCAGGAACGAATTTCTAATAGTAGGTATACTAGGGGGGTTTTAACCCAGGGGCAATGAGGTGGGGTGAGGGGCGAGCAGAAATCATGTTTTTTAACTTATGAGCGCTTATATGCGAGACTAAATATTTGTTAATATCGGTCTTTCATGTAGGTTAGCGATTGTCATGACTAATATGTTAAAGAATTAATTTTTGAAAAAGATTAAAATTTTGAAATTTGTCTGGACGTTACATCTCCCCTCCTATTTGAGAATAAAACCCGACGTTGACCTAGGGTTTTGTTCGAGGTTATAAAGATGCTGCTGTAAGTCATTATATGTCTGAGGGATAGTTATATTCGTGGATTCCATTTCTCCAGGTCGTTTGGTGTTATAGCCTTGAAGTTGTGGCTGACTTATCACTGGCGGTTCTTTTGGCAGTGCGGGGGGTGCGTCTGAGATGGTGGCGAGAGGTGTGGCGTCTTCTGGGAATTTGTTCTTTTCTTCCTTTTCGTTCATATTCTTGCGGCTGAGGTGAAGCAAGAGATTAGTTAGAGAGTCCCATAATGCTCCTATTAGATGTAGACTACATCCATATACGGTATGTAGTGCGTATCCGTGGATGATGGTGTCAATTGCCAATTTAGCAATACGAACGATCATAAATACTCCAACGACACCGGCCGTGGCTGATCCGAAACTCATGAATCCTTTCCATATTTTTGCTGCGGTGTTGTCTACGATTTTGTTGAGCGATTCTTCGTCTAGTAGTTTGTATAATGAGACGGAGTCGGCGTTAACTGGATGTCCAATAAGCCCACGGGCGACGGCGTTGAGCAGTGCCGGTTTCTCTGCGGGAAACATAATGTGGTCTCTCAATTTTTCTATGTCTTGTTGCGTATAGATTCCACTAACAGCTAGTGGTCCGGGTGTTAAATAACTCCAGGTAAGAGATGCCATGGGTCGTAGTTGTTGAGGTGACGACTGTCTTACTTGTGCTTTTGGCGTGAACTGTACCCAAGTGTCTTCTATCCGGTATAACGTTGGTAATTCTTGAGAACATTCTCGCTCGTTTCCGATTTTTGTGACGATTCTTGATTTGGGCGTGAGAAAGTAAGAAGCGTTTCTAACGGTTACGGGTAACTCGTTATAACATTCTTTGGTTGGACGTACGGTAACTTCTACAGGGATGCATTTTATTATCTGGACAGCTTCCCCAGTGGTGACGGCCATGTATCCCGGCGATTTCATTAGACTATACGCGAATTCATCAGGCAAGAGAGTCGCAAAGGATAAGGCGTTGGTTATTACTTGTCGTTCCAATTCACATTTTTGTTGTATGACATTATGATACAAAGATGTCATTTGATGTCGGATGTGTTTTTCAACATACACAAACTTGGAGTTCATGTAAGTGATTATATCGAGGTTATCCACAAGGATCGTACCTTTGTTGGCAAAAGTTTGGCCTTGCTTTGTTTCCAAGATAAATAGTTTCGGATGTTCCGTGCGAAGCAGAGTGTATCCGCATAATGGCTGCTCTTTGGTTTTCGTCAAGGCGAACGTGATGTCTTGCGTGGTGAGACTGTAGACGATGGGGGAGTCATCGCCTGTTATCTTGGTCGCTAGTCCCTCGTATAGGACATCGTATTGATTGAAGTTGCAGGATTTCATTGGTACTGGTTTCTAAAAGGTGTAACCGTCGTCGGAGTCCAAACAGAAGCTGTCGGCCAGTGTACAAATGGTTCCTGACCTTAACTTGATTTTACCGTGTTCGAGTTGTACTGGCACATAAGATGATTTGAGTGAGATTTTTGCGACTGCTTGAACAATTACGTTGTCCCATGTGCCGTAAGGGTCAGAATATTGCGTACCCTTACAAGTTCCATCGGTTTTTAATTCGCCAGCCAGCGTAAGGCTGTGATAAGAAGTTTGGTTGATTTTAAGTCCACTAATTAAGTGAGCAGGTCCCAAGGAAGTAGTACCGTCTTGAAACATTCGCAGGCATTGAGAATATCCGGTTTCCTGGACGTAATCTGCTTTTCCGTTAAAGACGACCGAGATGTGCGAATGCATGCCACAGTGATATATCGTGCGGGATATCTCTAGTTTTCACTGTATAACTTCTGCATAGTTATATTCGGAAAGTTGTAATAGTTGTATATAAGTTTCTGTGGAGTTTGGGGTTTGATGATGGAGATTGCATTCTCCTACATCTAAGAGGGAAACGGCGGTAATGTTGAGATGCTGTCCACCACAATCAAATCCAATCAAGGCGAACGAGGTTTTAACGGAGAGTATTAGAATAATCCCTAACATCATGACAAGCTGTAACGCACAATCGGACTGGTTTACTAAATTAAATATTTTTATATATAAATTATTTAATATGTATGTGTGCACGCATACACACATATGTTTATGGATATATATATATATGTGTACGTGCGGAGGCATTCCTTGCATTGGATGCGATAACGGTGCGTGATAAATCTTTTAATAATTGAATAGTATAATGTACATGATTTTACTGTCGTTGCTTTCTACGTCCGTTTTCAGATTCGCACATGGACATATATATATATGTGAGTTGTTATAAATTATTTTTGCGTCTTATATCTACGTATATCGGTTGCGCGGTTGCAGGTTTTCTGCCCGTGTCTTTTGTAGGATTCGTAAAGATTATTCGAAAGTTTGCTATTGGCTGGGATATAATTAGCTCGTTCACTGGTGAAGCTGGAGTCGTTTCCTCCGAGTTAATGCAAGTATGAGCGTATAATATATTACATTTTTAAGTACGTTAAGGTTTTCGCGAGGCTATTCATAATGGTTGAATACTATATTGATAGATAACTCTCGCGAGGAACGGAGTTATTACCAGTGAGCGAGTTAACGATAATCTGTAATAATATAAGGTGTATCGTATTAGCTAGAATATTGCGTGGATATAAGTCTCACGCAATATCAGGGGTTTTGTATGAAATGTACTTAAGTAAAGCATACCTCATACAAAGATGAAAAATAATGGCTAGAAACAGTAAGAATAAAGTTTTGAATAATGTACAGGGTTCCATGCTGAACAACCTGTTTAGCTAGGGTGGTTTTCTGAAATGAGAATTTTACATATATCGTATTACTAAAATATACCTGTAATTTTAGCGTTGAGATTTTAGTAATCTTATAGGCGTCCGAGCTGATAGCGAACCTGCAATTAGGAATACATATATTATTATGCATGAATAATCTTGGGTATATATATATATATTTGTATGACGCGTGGTCATTCGTCCTCCCATCTAGTAAAACAATAATAATTATTAGCGTATTGTTTTACAATGTAGGCTGGTAATGATTAATGGTGGGTACTTTTCCGTCCCAGTATCTAATGGTATCGTTGCGTTTCCACACGTTTACTACGTATTGAATATAGGTAAAGAAACATTCTTCACAATTAGTTATGGGTTCAATTTTGTAACAAGCATAGCGACAGTTGAGACATGGAATAGGAGGTGCGGTTTCGCAAACTAAAACGTGATAATTATAAATGTCTTTAGGTACCGATCGAGTTCTTCGCGTGATGCGACAAATTTGGCAATAATTATCGTAAACTGTGCTTTTATAGCATCTAGCTCTATGTATATTAGGAAAAAATAGTAATATTTTCTTAATTAAAGGAAATCTCTGTAACAGTGTGTGGAGTTCAACAATATTAGGGTGTTCGTAGTACGTGTTAGAGGCTGTTGCGTTGTGATCGCATGGATTGTTGGAAGACATTTTTCTTAAAGTTTAAACAACTAGAGGTGGTTAAAAGGGTAATTCTTGATTTATGCTCATTAGATAATTAGTGCAAATTATACAACTTCGTATTGGTTTGGAAATTGTTAGGAGCTCGGAACATACAGAACACTGTGGTTCAGGATAACCTAATCCAATCACAACGGCGTGAGTATACCGTGTTTGGTAAAAGGAACGTGCGGCTAGATCGAGATTTGAATAACAATTCGTGCAACGTGCAGAATTAGTGACTACGTTACGATATCCGTATACCTTTACGCAGCTTGCGAAGGCGAATATCTGATGTAGTGGGGAGCTTGTAGTTTGTCCTGGATGGACTGGTTGGCGATGCCAACACATCTGAAACCCAAAATTAGAAATACTGTTTTTCAACCTGGTTCTATATGTGCTAATTTTAACTTATCGATATGGACAATCCGCGGTTTATGGTCGATTAGGATTTTGGCGTTGTTGGAAGGTAGGATCTCTATTATTTCGTAGGGTCCTACGTAATGTGCTGAAAATTTTCCTTTCTTCGGTTCCTTTAGTAAAAAAACATAATCTCCTATTTTAAACTGTCGAGAATTTACACGTTGATCATAATAGTATTTGCTTCTTTCTTTGGCTCTAATGAGATTTTGTCGCGCTTCTTCGCGGATATCATATAATTTGTTGAATAAAGTGTTTATGTATTCTTGATAAGTAGGTTCTAGAGGTTCTTCGATAGGTTGATACGCGGATGGCAATCTGGCTAGTCGTCCGAATATTAGTTCGTATGGCGAGAATTTTGTTCCTTCGTGGACGCTTGTATTATAAGAGAACATGGTGTCACGTCCGGCCGTATAAATTTTTTCGTTTACTCCAAGTTCCTTAAACGCTATTTGAAAAGCGCGCCAAAGCCGGCCATGACGCTTAACTCCGCCTAGAAACTAAGCGTGGCGCTTCGTAGCGCCTAAGGATCTCCCACCACGGT